GGAGAGTATTACCTCATATAGCAAAAATGCTACTTCCCTTGGTTACACACTCCAACTAAGAAATCATTTTTTCTAGATGGTGCTGACAAGTAGAGCTGCTTTCATTAGAAAGCAGATGGTTCGCTATTTCAATTCTACTTTACCTCCACATTTGCTCCAGCTCTGAGTTCTTTGCTGTCAGTCACCTCATTGTTCCATTTCATAACATCTACATCGTGTATTCCAGACCTATTCATAAAATGTGCTAACCATCATGTTGCCTTCCCCCATGACCTCCTCTTTGAAAGCACAATGTACTCTGCATCCTCGCTTGTAACTCAGTCTTCAAAAAGCAATGAGAGTGAATCTCATCATCTGTACAGTAGCGTATCTCCCACAGTGCTGCAGGTGTCTGTTAGCCAAGAGTGCCAAAGATGTAATTTACACATTCAGATTTGAGGTTGGGGCTGAAGTCACAACACTGAAGAATTTGTCTCAGTAGAGCTTTAAGGCATACTCTGGCCCTCTATCATTTCTTTCATTTGGCAGTTATAGTGTTTATGATTGCTTAGTATTTTCACCCTCTGGATCTACATAACACATGTCCTACATGGGTGCTTGGTAGGGGACAGTAAGTAGTCGCTGGCAATAAAACCATGTGTAATAGAGTAGGCAGCAAGGGTTAGTGTCTCCCAAATACAAGTATTATTTTGGTTAAATTCAGTTAGCAATGTGTGAATATAATCTTACTGAGCTGAGAGAAATACAGGCCTGATCAACCAAACAACATAAATTCGAACAGAGGTAAATGCTTTCTTGACATTTCTGAATATTGTACTGCTAAATATGGCTCTCCATTATTCCAGGTACTCAGATATTTCTTGTGTAACTTGCAGTGTCAGCTACCTGGGTATAAAAGCACCATGGAGGAAGCCATGGAAGCTAATCTATTCAGGAGCTATAAAAAAATACGGGAATGAGGGGATTTCGCATATCATTTCAGAGGTATGTTTAAAAAGGGTTGATGTGCATGTTCTGAGAACTCCATAGCCTTCTTGGTGTGGTAGTGAGACTTTTAAGAAACAGTGCATGTTAAAAGTGAAAGAAGAAAAGGCAAGGTGGAAGTTAAGATTTAATTTGCTTTTGCATTTCATGTTTCCAGATGATAAGTGGATTATATTTTTTAAAGGCTTCTTTCTTTAGACTGTCTCTTTTGTGAGACAATAGTAAGCACATAAATGTTTTGGAAGAAATATCCCAGTAATCCAGTGTCATCTTATTGCTCCTGTATGATTCTATCACTTGGGAAAAAAAAAAAAAAGAAAAAAAAAAGTAATCCCTTATCACTAGCTTTAAACCTATTTTTTTTTTTTTTTCTACAGAGGAGATATAAGATGGAAAGGGGTTTTTTTGAGTGCTTTGGGAAAACTGTATTTGTTATGTTAACAGCAAAGCAGAAACATGTAGTGCTTTTGATAGTCTGTGACTTGTTTTCATTCTCTAGGGATTTGCAAACAGCAGAAAATTACCTGCTTCTATTTGTTCAGTCTTTCTACAAATGTAGTAGAATGGCCTTCTCAAAACACCGTGCAGATATTCTAGGCCAATTCTAGTGAGTTACCAGAGGTTCTGGTTTAAAAATGTAATTCTAGTATAAACATCCAATTAAGTCAGGTTGTTTTGAGCCAAAATAAAGACTGGATAGTTCCTGAAAATCTTTCTTGGTATTATTACAACATATATTATAAATAAATGATATTTTGAAATAGTTGCAGTTCTTCAAATAGCCAAAGTAATTCCTGTTAGGTTTCAGAATGCCTGTATTTGTCTCTAAGGATTAACTTTGAGAAACAGATTCTCTTTGAAGTGAGAATTTCACTCTTTGTTGCTTAGATAGTAAGCCACTTGCCTAATAAGATGAAATCTGTAGAGATAAATGATCATTTGATAACGTTCTGTTCTCCATAATATCCTATTCTGCCATATATGGTTTGATTTTGATCATTCTGCATTGGAGATGATACTCAAACATCATAGTAACCAATTCAGACCTGCTTTACATAGATTTTTGTGATTTCTGTCATGTTCACCACAAATTCAGTTTGTATGTCACTTCTGGAAGTGGTTTTTTTTCACCTTTTGTTTTCCAAATGCTTCCTAAATCACGTCAAATTTACCATTTATTATTACCTCCTTATATTTTCTTCGTATCATCTGCTGTAGTATCTCTTTTATTCATGCTGAAAATTATTATAGTGGTTGTCAGAAATTAGCATATATTGTTGGGATTGGTATTCAATTTCGTTAACTTAAAAGACAGCCTGTCCACAGATCTTAAAATGCATCTTATGTGGGATGTGATTTAAAGCAATGATCTCAAGTAAACAGTTACATTTTTTCTTGTACAGTTTGCACTGAAATTGTTGGAAGAGCCTGGAACAGACATGCTTACAAAATTCAAAGAAAAGATAATAGATTAGTTTTGGTTCCAAATATCGTCATCTAGATGAAGACCAAGGACAATGTTTAGTTATAGTTTAATAATCCGTGGTACAAAGAGTTCTGAACAAATTGGGGGAAAACATAAAGCAACAATATTAAGCAAATCCAAGGCTGAAGGTCAGCCTGCAGTTAAAAACCATGCTCAGTTATATTATTTTAAGTGATGACACAATATTTAAGCTATTGAATTTGGCACCACAAACAGCCACGCATATTGTACAGGATGAGAAAGTATGCAGTTAGTTGGGGTTGACTTTTTCATTTCTGTTTATAAAGTCCACGGACTCTGGTTTACTCTCAGTCAGATATAGCCTCAGCATCCAACCTGAATAAACCTCACCTGAATAAACCCCACAGCCGTAATCCAGCTGCAAACATGACAGGGCAAAAATAGTAGGTACAGATGCTGCTTACACATTATGAGCCAGCCTCCTAAAAGGGCATGGCATGAAGATAGATCATCTTCTCCAGAAGGAGCTGGGTGCAGTTGTCATTGGAGCATTAGAGGTAATGTCTTCTTACAGTGAAGTTGCTGTTGCAGAGCTTTGAACATCAAGAAACTTTGAACTGCCAGAAATTACCAAGCTGTCCAGTTTAAAGTTAGCCTGGCCATGTCTATGCAGCCTGGAGTGTAGCCCAATTCATAAACAGTCTCACAGTCCATTGCTCCATTGGCAGCACAGACCCCATTTTTGCATAGTCCAAGAGACAGATGCTGTGGAGAGCATTAATTGCTCACTGACCAAACAGAAATTTCTGGGCCACCACAAAGTTCCTTTAGAGCAGGCTGATAACTATAGTAGTGGCTCTGTTAAGTGGAAGAACTATCAGCTTCTGCAGATAAAATCTAGATGGAATCTAGACCTCAAGATATCAGCTTATCGTAGGTGTTTTCTTGTGACTTGTAACTCCTGTCTTCTGATGGAGATGCCCAAGAGATTTAAGAATTTCTCTCTAGTAAATTGCCTCTGGAGAGCAAAGTTAGACTTTGGTTTATGCCTTTGAATGTCCTGCAGAAGGTGATTTAGTATGGATGTGACCCAAGACATTTCTGCTCAGAAAAACATTTTGCAGCTACCAAGTACTGTAGTTGAAATTAATTATCAAAACAGAAAGGATATTCCCCCAAAAAAGAAAAGTACTGTGAACTGTTGGTATGAAACTTTGGTTCGAATACCAAAACCAAAATTAGTGGTTTTGCTTCAACAACTGAATTATACGAAACTTCCATGAACCTTTTGAGTCTAGGTTTAATCCCTACCTGAATGCTGACACAAAATCATAAAGCATCAGACTTTTATATACATTACACTGCAAAATAATTCCAAACAAAACAAATGAGAAGATACAGGAAGCCGTAGTGTAAGATCTTAACAATTTCCAATAGGTGCTGTTCTACGATTTGTGTGCACAGGCACTCCTGCTGCTTATATAAGATGAGCAGAAATTTCACCTGCTACGATACAGGGATAAACTCTGTACAGTCTTTGAAATTTTATCTAATGCAGTTAGAAGATACAAAGCATTATAAAGAGAGAAAAGACTGGCAATAGCAAATTATTTATAAATACGTCATTTGCATTTATGAAAAGGGTTCAACTTCCACACGTTTTTCTATTTTCAAATAACAAATAACCTTTAAAGATTCATAATGAGGTATGAAATAAATGAAAGAGTACTGAAGGTGAGTCATTCATTAATCATAAGCAAAACAGGGTCGAAATGAAGGACACAGGAGCACAAACTGTAAAAGTAATGGGTTGCATAATCATTGTACTTAATATTAACTACATTATGTTTTTTGTGTGAGTTCTGAGAAGTTGATTTTTTAATGTTTACATGAAACTAATCCAAGGTAAATTTTATTTCTCAATATTATTTTATCCTAATGGTTGCCCTTTTTTCATAAAGTAGAAGACATGAATTCTGGCTTATCACATTGAAGATTTAATAGAGGGGCTTAGCAGGAACTGTTGAGTCTACTGTAATTTTTAAGATATTTTATTTTTGACTAGAATGCACTGTTTCTTATAGTTACATCCCCTTCTTGTTTGTCATGGCTGATCTCCCATTAAGGACATAAATTCTCTTAGAATGAGTCTTTTGGGCCAAAATAAATTGTTATTCATATTTGGCTGTCAGAAAAACACCAAGAAGTATTTGCACCATTCTGGACCTTTATCCTACACGAGTTCAATCTGCAATGACAAGACAATGTGCAACAAAGTTGCACAATTTACAGGTGACTTTTAGTATGTAAGTAGTTGGAATAATTCAAATGGATATTGTAATGATAACAATACCTCCTCCCTCCCACTCTCTCCATATCGTATTTCAACTGGAACCATAAACAAGGTAAGCTGGAGGAACATATGCTGAACTGGTAACCAAATGATTAGTCAACTTATTTTAAAATCACTAAATAGATGTTTTTCTCTGTTCCATACACATTTGTTCTCTCATCTGTGTGGAGCAAGTAATTCAAGTAATTATGCTATTTTTATTTGTTTTTTTTTCAGAATTTAATGGGGGAATTAACAGACAGAGAAGGAGAAAAAGAGGAAAAAAGTGCATAATGAGAACTGTGCTCATAACATATAGAAAGGTAATATTCTGTTTTTACCCACAGTATGATATTCATTCACCCCCTTGTCAGTTCTGTGTGTCTGTAGCTCTCTCTGTGCTGACCAGCAGTGCTTGGGGGAGCAGCCTACTGAAATCCTGGCATGGCTGCCAGCTCCCTGAGGAGCAGGGAGAGGCGCTGGGCAGCTCTTGGTGTAGGCTGTTCTGCTCTTGGGCATCTATGCAGTCACACTGGGGTCTGGGAAAACTAGCTACACTGGCCTTGGCAGTCCAAAGTAGTTTTCATCCACAGACAGCATTAATGTTGCCCAGTGTTGACCCCTCCTCTTAACTGTCGCAGAGGCTGTGTCCATGCAGTGGACAGATGTGTCCATGCAGTGGACAGATGTTCCCTCTCCAGGCACAGGGACACAGGATGCACTGAAACTAGGCTGCAGGTGCGCTGATGTGCTCTGGATTCTTGTCCTTCTGTGAACTCCGGGAGCTGCCCATTTTTGCTCCAGGTTCTGGAGTCCTCCAGCTAAATGGACTCATGTTGTAGGACTCATGCTCTGATGTCGGAATGAGGTGGGCTTGAACTGCTTATTCCCATGTAGCTGTAATACACAGTCTCTGTGACTTTCACCCTTTAGTATGATAAAGACCTCTCCACAAAATATTGTAGCCCATACTAGAGAGGCTGGACTGCATGCCTTGTGACTCGAGGTCTATCTCAGAGCTGTCTTTGCTCACGCTCTTTCCTAGCTGTAATTAATGCATGTCGTTTTGGTGCCCCAGTAAAATTTGCCTACACATAGAATATAACAAGCATTGTTAAGCCAGTGTTTAATGCTTAGATGGAAATAATGACTTTTCAACATTTCTGTTAACAATCTATACAATTTTAAACTTTGCTCTGCAATTCTGTTTTCAAAGAAAAAAGTAACACTTGATTAACACTCTTTCATATGCTTTCTATACGCCTTAGTAAAGAAAGTGTCTTATTTTTTAAATCTTCCATTTAACTGATTTCCTGCCTTCACCAACCTTTCTCAATTTTATAAATTATATTGGTGCTATAGTCACATGATACCTTATACGTACAAAAAACTATATGTAAACTGCAAGATGTTGAAAAGCAGTCATTGTTGGTGATTATTTTCTTTCTGAAGAAATATAAAGTGCATGTTCATTAACAAGAAGTTCTGGATGAAATATTTGAATGGAATGGCTTTAGGAAGGATAAAAATAGTCACCAAACTTGTTTAAATATTTTTATGATTTGCATGGTATGCTATTAAGTATAAGAAATGTGCCCAGATCCATTGAAAATGATCTGTATATTACAGGCCTGTAACAAAGAAGGCAGATCCGCATATCATGTTTACATGCATTTTAGATGCAGGTGGTTTAGATTCCAGAGCAAATAGGTTACTGATGATATTATGATTCCCAGAAGCAGATTGCCCAGCACTGCCTTTCTCAGGCAATATAGTTAAAAGTTTCATCCTGTCCCCAGTGTTCTTCTGCTTGACTGCTTTTTCCCAGACCCTGGGAAACTTTTCAGTTAGGATGAAATACCACAGAGAAGAAAGAGAATGTGAATACTTCCAAAATCCAAATGAGGAAGTAGGATTTCTCATTCTTCCTTCTCCTAAAAAAGACAGGAACAACTATGAAGACCTTGAAGTCTTCTCTCTGCTGGACCAATTATTTCTAATTCTTTTGAACCAGAATATATGTTTTAGGTAATCTTTAAATGCTTTTACAATATCTTCAGCTCAGTACCAGGAATGCTTTCCATGGGTCTGAGCAGGCTGTCACAATAGAAAATCTGGGAAAAAAATAGGTACCGGATCAGATTCTTTTGCCTTACGTGGGTACTGCTGCCCTGCTCTTTGCACACTGTCTTACACAAATGAACTCTCCAAAACTGAGCTGTGCCTCCACTGTACCTCCCACAATCCTTATTGCAGAGCTTCTGTTCTGCTTTCAGAGGCTGTTCTGGCAGCCAGGCTGAGTGGCTATATTATGTCCGAAAGTTAAAAGGTGACAAGACAAAAAGCTTGGCTCTTGAGGGGCCCTGGACTTGTTTATCTCTTCAGCATCTTTGAAACTGTAGTTAAAATATCTACAAATGTATTCATGAAACATCAGAAATGAAGGAATGCACTTTAAGCTAAAGTCCTGTCCTAGGTTAATGATTAATACACTGTGAGAACTCAGTTTGGTATTTATTGTATCATGACACAAGTAAATTAAACCACAAGCAAGTCATTATCTACTTTTTTTTTTTTTTTTTAAAGTATGCAGTGCCAAATTATTAACCTCCTTGGTAGAAGGACAGTAAAAACATTGGGGATTTGTTGTTCTGATCCTTTGTCCACACTCTGTGTATAAAGGCTGTGGTTCTTAGAGAAGTAGGCTTGCTATTTCCAATACAAAATGTTAATTGCTAGATATGTTTTACAATAAATATTTCTGCTTTCATCACAGTATTAAGAAAAATACACATGCATTTTACATCTATTCCTCACTTGCTGTCACAGTAAATTGTACCTTCTGTCATCTACATGTATACAATGCTGTTTATTTACTACAGGAATTACCTTTTAAATTACTGGAAACAAAGACCTGGAAAAAATCCATATCTTAAGTTTTCAGGATCAGTTTTGAGTCACACTGAGACTTATCAGATAGTTTTGTGCTAATTTGAGTTTTATGCATATTCAGTTTTTAATTTCGTTTTGTTCCTTCTCTTTGTGACTTACAGAGCCAAGAGTTTAGAAACTGAAAGGGAATATTTTTGTATGATAATTTCTGTAAGTCCATCACAAGAATTACCTCTTGCATGCTTCTGCCTTTGAAAACAGAAAGAGTTGTAAAATTGGAAGTTTGAACAGTGTTGAATGTCTTTGAAATTCTACTTTATATTTACAAACATGCCTGCTTCAAAATTAGATTTCAGTGAACAAAGAATGTCACTTTACTCATTTATTTTTCAGCAGTTTGATCACAAATACTTCAGCATATGGCTATTCTGAAATCAAAATTTCAGCCTTCTTAATTATTTGGGAAAGGTGTTTTCTTGAAATGAAAAGAATGCCTCAGTTACAATCAACTGAAATTATTAGAATTTTAGAGTTATTAGAATAAACATACTTAACTATTCTGTTGTTAAACCTGCAATTAGACTGCCTTGTCTGAAAAGATTTTATGATTCCGAATCTATGTTTCACTTCCCGCTTTTGTTTTCATGGCAATCTAGCCACCATTCAGAGGCTTAAAGTTCTTTCATCTAACTTTTCCTATATGACCAGAGAGTAATGGCCAAATTATTTAGGTACAAATATGTCTTGAGAATATCATCAAATCCATTCTAATTTCATTCATGCCTTGGAGATAATAATTTGAAGAGCTAGTTGCAGCGTGCAATTAAGCATGGAGGAAGAAAATAGATCTGTCCCATAATTTATGTCTGCAAAGGTTGGGCTGGATTTGTAATTAATGTTTGCTTCTTTTAATGAAATACTCTAAAGGTCTGCACTTCTGTCATTCATGGAGGTAATTTTTCAATTGATTAGTAAAATAATACTTGAAAAGTAAATGCACCTGCTTTAGCACAGAAATGTCTTAGTCAAGTAGAGACAATGATTGAAGTGCTAAAAAAATATCATTTCAATACAGTAGAGACTGGAGTTTTACTCCTCCAGAATTCAGAACTCCCACTAAAGAGAAAAAAGGAAAAGGTAATTAAACCTCCAACAACTTATTCAGCATGCTTTCATCCAGTTTAATTCCTCAGTGGTTTTCAGCATAGCTAAATACTATTAGGAATACATGCCTGAACTATGCATTAATATAAGTGAAATATCTCTGGAAAGCACGCATTACAGAAAGACATCATTTCTGTATTTATGTACCTTAGTATTTTTGGAGAGCACGAACAAATTATTTAACAGTGTGAATTTGTTTCATTTTGTAAAAACACTCAAAATTATTATTGTTCATTTTGCTCCTATTCTGATGTTTTTTCAGGCTCAAAGATTTTCAAGGTGGTAAAAATTCAACATTTGAGAGTTGAGGTCCTGAAACTGGTGTTTAAAAATGACTTGCAGTCTTGTTTCTCCAAAACAACTGCTACAAAATAGAATGAAATAAAATAAGCTATATCCACATGCTTTCAGGGAGTAGGTAAGGATTTTGTTTTAATTAATCACTCAAGAAAGGATGTTTGATGACTTTTTCTGTTTTGTTAGTTTGGCGCAAAAGAAGAGTTACTGTCCCTGTGCTTTTGAGAACTCAATATGTAGTGACGAATGTTCTAGGGATGATGATGAGACAGACTAGGCAAAAGGCAGAGTGCAATCAGAATCTGTGCTAATTTTCTCGAGGGCAGACATAGTAATCTAAGACGTTTTGAACCTCCTGTCATTTGGGAACAAGGATTTTGCTTTTGTAGAAAGAACCAAGATAAGTGAATAAATGTGGTAGAAACAGCCCTTATCCAGAGCTCAGCCTAGTGGAGTGGAGTAATCCAGACAGTGGAACAAGGGGATGTATGTTTATCTTGTAAACAAGGGCAACAGAATCAATGTCTTATAATTCCTCTGGCCAGTATCATTGCTAGATGAAAAGATAGGAGAGTACTTGCCAACAGTTTCTCCAGCCTCACTTTTAAAATCTGAGGTCTGCTTGGTTATGGTAAAGTCATAGGCATTTGATCATTAAAGTATCTCAAACTGTGGTTTCCAAATGGTTGAGCCTTACTACTGAAATGAATTGGATTTAAAGGCACGTTTCTTCCCTCGGTGTTCCCTTATTGATGTGCTTTAGGCAGTGATGTTTGGACCATGCTGACACTGGATGGCTCAGCAGGCAGCTGCTGTGAGTCATCTCTGAGGTGCAGAGCTCTCTCCATCCAGTGAGAGGAAGCCCATATTGGACCAGGTACAACTTATGCTTACGGTGGCAACACCATTTAATACTTTGCTTTAGGACTCCTTCCCAATCACATCCATCTTCAAGAATCTACTAGTAGAA